AATTCTACTGTTCTAGGATATACCAACTGATTCAACTATGGACGCATCACTTGATGACGACTTGAGAGATTTTGAGGATCTTCTCTCACTCCTGCCACCAACTGATCCACTGGACTCGCAGATTTCAGCACTCATTCAACAACCAACTGTTTCTACTACTACAACCCCCACTGCAAAGCCGACCTCAACACGATCCTTCGTTGAGCCACTACTTCAAACCAATTCAGCTGTCCCAATAACTATAGCATCAAAGCCACCACCCCTAAAAGTTTCATCCCCTGATTTCAGAATACCCCTGGTTCCCTCGAATTCCAAAATTAAAAAACGGACCCAGATAGTAAGACCATATAAGATACTAACGACAAATACGCCGGTATCAACTTCTCAATATCCAACGACCATTAGGCGACAGCCCTTACACCCCGCTGAATTAAATACTAAATTACATATTCAGTTAGAAAGGGAACAATACATTAATTCTGACAGTAATCCCGGCTTCGATATGGATCTCAATTATGCTTTGAATCCATTAATCAACCGTTTTAAATTAGAAGCCTATCACCCCATAAAAAAAATGTTCTCCATAACTAATTCCCTTCTTGAATATCAAAAAATCTATGTCCCAGCAAAATATCTGACAGCAAAATTACAAACCCCCAAGTTAGATGACTATACTGAGCAAATTCAGCGCAGTCATATACTTGAAACGCATCAAATCCGGGAGCTGAAAAAGCAAATCCACAATTTGAAAACAAAAAATCACCAACTTATAGCCCGGTTGGAAGGAAAATGGTAAAATTTTATCCTTTTAATTAAACATTTAATCTTTCGCTTTATATAGCTATGTAGTATAGCTAATAATTTTGCCTTTCTCAACAAGTTTGACTTTAAAAAAAAAAATACACCCTTTTGTATGAACCAGTCGTCCCCTTATTACGCATATGGACACTCATTTCACATACTTCAAGACTTCACATACTTCAAGAAGAAAAGGAGACTTCGGAAAAACTATGTTCAAGGAATTAAACTAACCTTCAAACTTTGGAGAAACAAATAATTTTGATGTATTTAATTTTATAGTTAAATCTATTGGTTGTGTAAACTCTATTTTGATTTATAAATGTAACTGATGTGTTTATATTTGTTCAAGCCTGACTAAAAGTATCAGTTGTTCAATAACATCTGCTACCTGTAATACCAACAAACTATTGAACCAACTTTATGAGATTGAAAGAAAAAGCTTCGATCAATCAACAATTACCCCACTATTCAAGTGAAAGTAATAAAAATGAAAGTTTTAGTTTTTTTCCTCTCCAAATAGGAGGATGGATATGTTCTGATTTCAAATAGAAACAGAAACATGAATTATTTTATTGAGCTAACAAAATGTGACGCCGCCGTCATCACAAAAGAAATATGTTTTTATTCCCATGCAAAAGGAAGGGAAATGCTATTGGAATAATTCGTATAACGTTTTAAGCATTGAGAATTGAAACGACAATTCTCATTCAATGCGAATAATAACGATTCCTCTCGTAAAGTACGAGCATACGAAACATTCTTCTCGTAAAATACGAATGTACGAATAGAGAATACGAAGTTAAGAAGTAACTTCTCATTTGATACGAAAAGTGGTACGATTTCCCATCTGAGTATAAATAGAAGCTCAAAACTACGGGAATTCATTCCCAACAATATCTCTTCTAACACCAACACCACTCTCTTGTACCACCCCAACCAATCTCTAAAATAATATCTACTCCCAGTAAAAATATCTCTAATCTCACCGTTAAATTAGATATTGAGTCAAAAGGCAACTTGCTGTAAATTCTTACTAACTTCTTTTCTAATAAAATATTTCTCAGCGAATTTTAGATTTTCTTTCTTAGATAGAAAGTAGAAAGGACCCTTTATTCCAAGCAAGCGTTTTGTCCGACGTATATAGTTTTGCTAGCGTAATACTATGAAATTTAGCTTTTTTGATCAATTGAATGTCATAAGCAGTGTTTCCGACTAGTTTTTAAGTTTGTTCATTGATGACCTCGTTAACATCAGAATCTCCAATTCTACAATTAAAGCTCGCAAAATCCATTAGGTCAAGGAATGGTTTAGTGCGATTGCACTGTATGAATAAGTGACAAATACTGACAATGAGACCATGACTCAGACACTAATTGATATAGGCGATAGTGCGAAGAACTTTTTCCGCGAAACAAGTAGCTAAAATGAAACGACAACCAATATGCAAAGTTCCGCTTACAGTTGCATACTCCTTTAAATGTCCATTGAGATTGGTGCAAATAACAGTCGTGTTTTTGTAAAAAGGTTACAACTCCTCAAAATTTTGTTTCAGATTATCTCGAACGTAAATGTCAACGAATGCTAGACCATACAACTCGCCTCTTATAAATAATTGTCTAAGTTTGTCTGCAGCGTTGAATTCTTTAGATATCTTCATGATATATTGCAGTTCATGATTATACTGCTTTTGGAAAGACTAACCACCTTCCCACATCTCGAGAATATAAACCCTGTCAACGCAGAAAAAAAAACAATTGCAAATCATATTTGATATACTCTAAAACATAATTCTGGACAGTATTTTTTCGTATTAAAGTTTTTCTTCATCATATAACCATCAAGTTTCATTCAATTCATCAAAACTTTGGGCTTCAAGAGCGCTTTGAAATAATTATTTCACGGCCGAGTTTTCGCCAGAATTTTTTCGTGGATCAAATCAGGCTGCAAATAAAACGTCGAAATGAATAGTTGAAATTACGGTCTTGAAAATTTTTACTTTTGTTTGTCAGTACGATACCTCAGTAGACAAACAAATGTGTGCTTGGTAGTAGCAAGGAAAATGCGACATGATTGGCAGCACGCATCAGGAATTTTTTTTTGCATTTTGAGGTGTGATTATGAAAAGCGCGATGCAACCAGACTTGATGAATCACTTGCATAGTATTCTTTACAAATGTAAGTTAGAAACTGCCTCTCCGCATTTTGAAAACTCGGGTGTAGCCGTTGTAAGGAACACTGTATAGTCGATATAGTCGATCCCTAGAATTCGGTTTGTAGACTGTTTACGTTGCTGATGGATTAACACTACCATTTGCCTAGAAATACAGTGCATCGGCCTTGCCACCAAGAAGTGATTTCACAAACTTAATCTTGTCTTCCCCCCTATATGATTCGTTATTTTTTAGTAGCGATTAAAAATTAAGCTTGGTCCACCGATTATCTGTTTTCGTACCAGGTCTTGCATCTTTTTGTTCTTAATCAAACCGAAAAAAAAAGATTCACTTCGATTAAAGCGGTTCTCCGCGTTAATCATTTTTAGCGCGGCATTTTTTTTTTGACTTGTAAAACTGTATCAGTTTTAGAACTGTTTAAGCAGTTTGAGCAATTTTTCGATTATTATCCTTTTTTGAACTGCTTCATGCAATGGCTTAACATCGTAAAAAGATTTTTTAAAATTTGTTGACTGAAATAGTTCAAACATTTATACAGTTATACAAAATCAAGTCAATTAACTTGCTAAAAAATATCTGACTGGCAGAGGGAACAAAATTTTTCATCGCTTTATTCGAGGTGAAGCTATTTTTTTATTCGATTTGGTTAAAACATACAAATTTATATAAACTGGTTCAAATACAGATAGTCAGTGGACAGAGCTTAGTGCTTAATCGCTTTGAAAAAAAAAAACGAATCATCTAGTGGGGAGCACGACAACATTTTAGTTAGTTTTTTTGTTGGTTACAATTCCAATGCTTTATACTTCTATGTAATTGCATTGGTGGTAAGATTACTGCAGGACCATACACAGTCTGCAAACAGGATTTTAGAAATTGAGAACAACTCGAGAAACATCCACATCAACTTGCGGAAAGAGACTTTGTAAATCACATTTCAAAGGAGCGCTACGGAAGCAATCAATCGTGTTTGGTTAAATCACGCTTTTTCTACTCACATATCAAAATAGAAAATTTCATTCCTGATGTCTGCTGCCAATTATGTCAAATTTTCCGAGATTTCACGCCTTGATGCCACCATGCACACTTTTGTTTGTCTACTGAAAAATTGTATTGGCAAACAAAAGTATTTTTTCAAGACTGTAATTTAAACTACTCCACTTGACGTTTTTATTTACAGCCTGATTAGATCCACGCAAATTCGACACTAGGATAAACAACGCAAAGCGTCCCTTGAAACCTAAAACATAACTAATTGAATAAAAATTGGAAGTTATGTGATACAGAAGAATTTTAAAACAAGAAAATACATTTATATCAAGTAAGTATTTCAAAAAACTATTTCGTTTTTCTCCGTATTGACTGGGTTTTCTGTTGTCGAGATGTGGCAGTGTGATTGGTCAATCGAAATCAGTATAACAATGAACTGCCTTTGAAAACGACTTCCTGTTGAATTCTGACCATTGGGATTTCTCAATCAAATTGCGATTAATGATCCTAGATGGTACATCAATTGGTGGTCGCAATTAGACCGCCTCTGTAAAAAAAATTCAATTGAATCCCGCTCGCTAATATTATACCATACCGCCTTATATTATCCTATTAACTTAATTGACTATAGTTATCAACTATGCCAGTTGAATGTGGTTGCTATTTCGGGTGCGGTCGTTGAGGCCAGAACAGAATGAATTCTTCTCGTTTCATGTTTTGTTAACGGGCCTTGGAGAGCGACCGCGAAGCAATGCAGAATAAAGAGCATAACAGCTTCGCAAAGGCATTTCAAAAGGTTTGAGCACATGAAATAAATAAAATCAAAGACTAGTTTGAACAGAAAAGAACAGAGAGAAATGCGCAAGCCGACATTGTAGTTTACGCTCCTGATTATATTATACAGTATTTTAGAACACTTTGAACTCTGTTCCGCGTATTAATGTTACATTTGAGCAACTCAGCCGCCAAAGTGATTCGCGCCAATTCTATTGGCCAATAAACAGCATTACATCGGCGCACTTCAAAGCAAGTCGCTCTTTGTAATTGCGCGGCGGCGCTGCGTGAAAATCTGTGTGATTGTAATAGATTAAGAATTAAACCGGAGTGTGAGAAAGATAGCCACAGTAGTCCGGCAGTGGTAAAATAAAACAAAATGAAAATATTAATTGTACAATTCAATTGAAAAAAATTCAACGTCGAACATTACTTCTATAGAGCATTTGAGCTCATTTCTCAGTTTAAAGCTATTTGTTTTACTCTTTTGCATCGTTTTACATTCTCTGCGCTCATTTTTCAGTTAAAAGTCAAGAAAACTAAACCAATTTTATACAACTTCGGGATTGTTTCTTTAAGAAAACATAACTTTGATTTATTATTAAGATTAACTTATTATTGAACAAGCTGTCCTTGACCGAAATATTCGTTTCAAAATTTTCCATTCAGGATTCTTGTTAGGGGAAACCAAAAATTCTAGAATATTCCGACTTTAGTTGGTGTAATTGCGGCCGTGTATAGCTTTAGTGCGTGAAAGATCTAAGTGAAAAGAGCGGCGTAATTGTCGGAATAACACTAGAAAGTGAAGCAACTTAGTTGTTATATACGAAAAGAAGTTATGAGAGAATTTTTCTTTATATTTTCCGCCGGGATAGGAGCTAGTTAGTGAGAATCGCAGCCACAGCGACATTTCCTTTCCCTATTTTGCCAACTTAACTCGAGCCAACCGAAATAGCAGCATAGCTATAGAAATAGAGAGCATAGTTAAGAGAGCCCGGCGTCACGGACTATCGCATTTTGGTTATTTTATTTATCCCGTGCCCGTTTAAAGCCCCAATTCGAAGTTAGCCGGCCGCACCCGACCGACAGAGATTCTTGGCCCGGCTTATTTCACAATTCAACAAAATAATATTGGCCGCGTTTGTTCTGCTTAACTTTGGACGCTCTCCTCTTATTATTTCCTTATTTACCCCAAAACACATTTTCATTTCCAACCAAAGAGCCACAGTCAGAACCAAAGATCCAAAGTGCAAATCCAAATTCCTCAAGTCAAATTTTGAACTTTTACCACTTCCCGAATTACACGCAATTACGACGAGACGAGACGAGACCAGTTATGAAATTATTAGTAAAATCAACCGGACTGGACTTGGATGTTTAATTAACTGCATGTTCCGGATTTTAATTTTTAATCGAAGTTTCGACCACTTGTTGAAAGTGAACGGTGGGTTCTTATTTTATCAATTACTGCCGGGTAATTGCTAGTAACCGATTTGTCCTATTACAAAAAGAGCCGCTTCTGCTAACAATAGAGCAGAACTTCTTACGTATACAAGAAAGTCTTTTTCAATAGCGTCTACAAGTGGAATAGCGCAGCGCCGCATTGGTCGAAAATTTAGATTTCAGTCTTTAAAAAAGAGGGAAATAAAAAATAAATAGGAAGACATCTAGCTTACAAACACTTCAAACTATTTTATCATTCCATTTATTATTTCACTGTTATTATTACATTCTGCACTTTCATCAATTCGCCGAACAGCTTTCAAGTTGATATAAGAGAAAACAATTAATTGGGCTCGTGATATTTGAAAAACAAAAAGAACAAACAACGCAAGAGCTCTAAAAAACTTTTTTCCAGCTATTTCATACAAATTTTTGTTTGTTATGTAAATGAAAATTCATTTTCAAAAAAATTATTACTTGGTTATTATTCGTTATGTGCAATTTTTTGTTGATTGGTTAGAAATTAAACAATTCGTACAAAAAATGCTTTCACCAACTATTTACATCATATTCTGGAATTCATTGAAACTACCTCATTTCACAACATTCTGATAACATTTCGGTTATTATTTGAAACTCGAAATCTGAACAGAGAAGATTTCAGAATATGGAAATTTCCGAATCGGAGAAGCAATCAAAGATGATGGAGATGAACAATCTTCTGGAAGGCACGACTCCTTTGATGCGAAGCGGCGAGTCGTCACTCGGGTCTTCGAGTCACAACTTGGTAATGGGTTTCGACGGAATTTTCCGCAGTGAAAAATGCGTCAAACTCTTCCAAGATTTCTTAAAAGAGCAGAACCAAGTTAATTATCTTATGTTCTGGTTAGCAGTAAACGGGTACAAAAAAGTGCCGGAACCTTCAAAAGCCGACCATTTGGCGAAAATCATTTACCGCAGTTTTATTAAATCAAACTCTGAAAACCCCGTCAAGCTAAATTCCACAACTATTCACGACATTAAAAGTCTGATGGAAACAGCTCCGATCGTGCGAACAATTTTCGACAACGCACATTTGGAAGTCGAAACACTTCTCCGAACTCAATTTTACCCGCAATTTACAAAGTGGGAAGGTGCTTCCAAATTTGAGTTTGTCGACAACAGCCCGACAATTATGTCTTCAGAGAACCCGACATCGCAGGCGAACACCGGGACACATTTCGGGTTTCACGACTCCTCACCGGCCAATACCGGTTCGGTTTCGGATGTTACAGTTCCTACCAACCCAAATGTCTCGATGTCGAGCAACTCGGCTATTTATCCGCCGCCGCCGACTTGTGCTGTGCAGTCGGCAACTAAGACGACAACAACGGTTTCAGCTGGTCTGAACTCTGCAAGTTGTCGCTGTCAATCCGAAAACACATCGGCTGGTTCTTTATGTGGTGCTACATCCTCAAGTTGCTTAATGCAGGAATGTGAAATAAACAACAACAATAGCGATGACCGATTTTGCGGAAAGTGTGATTCGGCCAAATCAGAAGCAAACGCTTCTAATAACCTGTAAGTTATTCCATCATTCTTCAAAGCCTTTCTTTTTGCCATTCTGTCCTTATTGTGTTGTTTCATCAAAATTGATTTTATTATCTCTCTCGTCGGAGGTTTCAATTTACGGATTTATTCAGCCTCGTGCTTTCTGCTTTTTCATGCAACATTTCTGCAACTTCATGCCATACCTACTTTTTGATATTTTAAAAATAAAATTGCAACAAAAAAGGCAGAATGTTTGGCCATCTTGTGGTCTTATTTTACAATTTTATATTATTAGATGAAGGATTCGAAAATGTGTCATAAGCGACATACAATTGCCGTCTCTAAGTGTGTCGTTGAAGTTCTTTGATGTACTACTTAATTTAGTGGGTCTCCGCATCACTTGATACTCCATATGCCAATTTATCTCTTTGATTTTCATCTGGTGTCTTGAACTTGGAATTAGGTCAAAATAAAACAAAAAGTGAACTAACTAACTTAAGAAAAAATAGTTGTTACAAGTTTTTCATTTAAAACCTTTTTGTGTGATCACTATGTTATGTCATTTTGAGTTGGAATTAAGTAATTTTTTTCTTCTTTTTAAAGTTGTTCACGTTGTTCTGTTTTTTTTTGCTTTTTTTCGATTTTTCTTAAAATCACGATTATGTCCGAGTTCTAAAATTCTGCGTTCTTTGAAGATGTTTTATGGAGACTTTCAAAGCCACTGCCCGTAGTTTAATGGTTGTAATGATTTTTTTTGCTGGTCATTTGTCAATTAACGCACAAGCTGATTTGCTTTGGTGAGGTGAGATCTGGGAATGTGTTCAAATTTGGGAAGTTATTAAAATGTCGCTATAATTCCTTTGAAGTTGCCTTCATTGTATACAAGTCGATGCACTTTTACTTGTAACAATATAGTAGAAAGGGGAGCAAAGATAAATTATCAAAAGAATCCTTGTTTTAATTTTTTATCTGAAATGATGCCCGCAGCAGCCCTTTTCAAAATATGTCTGGCGATAAATCAGTTCTCCCGAGACCAATTTTACTTTTATCATTTTCCGGCGCTACAGGGCACATAGGCAGTTGACTTATTAATAAGCTCCGCTTATTATCCATATCCCTATCATAAGCTAACTAACCTTAACTCGTCCGAATTGTGAGTAAAGAAAAGATTGATTATTTCGCTACTTATCCGATAAGCCAATTTGATCTGATTTCAAAACTTAAAAAATAAGCTCGGTAAATTTTAATCAAATTATATGTTCTTTCAAGTCCTTCCCAGTTTTTTCATTTTCAGGATTTTTCGCTAGAAAAGAAACAGTTTAAACAATATGATGAAAGGAAAGCCGATGCTACTGCTGAAATAGATGTTAATTTTTTCCAGGCATTTGGGCTCCTGAAAATCTTTTTCAGACTTCTAGTGATTCGATTGAAAAGGAAAAGATGAAAAAAGTCGACTTCTGAAGGCGAACTTGAAAGATCGGAAGTGCTTTCAGTTGTATGAGTTATGCAGCTGTTTAAATGTTTACATAATCCTTTTCTGGATATTAATTCCTTTTGAAGATTTGGAGTTAGTTTCTGTTCTGAATCGGTTGAAACGAGAGACTAATGTTTTTTCAATGAATGATTTTTATTGTTTTATGTGATTCTCCGGCCGGTCATTTCCAATGCTGAAAACAACCAGACTCTTTCAAGCTGGAAAAGTTCAAAGCTTCTGGCCTCGCTTTTATGTTCCATGCCAATAAACAATGGTCTTAATAGTTACTAAATGGACCACATCATTAAATATTAAGCCGAAAACAAGGATGATAAGGATGGTTTTATTACACTCTTTCATATTATTTTTTCAAAGGCAGGCTACTAACCATAACAAAATATAACAAGGGTAATGGTTTTTTTTGCTGGCAATCGAACAAAACTCGTCAAAAAGAGCGCTCTTAGCAACGTGCCAAGGAAACATATTCCAAAGATCAATTACCTTTGTAAAATGTTGTGCAAATGTCAGTTTTTAATGCGATTGATTTTGGAAAATGACATCTATCAACCCTAAGCTTCAGTAAAATTAGTATTAATGACGCTCGATGACGCGTTGACGCATATCTAATTCGTGCGTCTTATTCACTTCCGCATGTCCAATTCACCATTGGCCTAATTCGCCATTTCAGGTCGTGCCGGTCAGCATACAGAACCCTACAGGATTAAGAACTTCGTTTTAGTGATAAGAAAATCTTCGTTTTTGTGATTTTTTATAGAACTAGTTTGTAGCAGCAAGGTTATTTGTTTTTCATGAAATTCGGCTGCGAATAAAGCTTTTAAAAGGCTATGTGGGAAATTCCCTTATCATGGCATTTTGCTACTTTCCTTGATTTTATTCAATAATTCATGATGGTAATGATTTTTGCAAAAATTTTGATTGTTTTTGTAAAACAAGTAAAAGAAAAATAGATAAAAGTCCAGGAAACAAAACCGTAATTAAAAACATCAAAAACTTCGCCTCTTTGAAATCATTCCGTTCCAACACGCACGCAGGAACTGTTGATCGAGCGACTTAAAAGCAAATTACTTTCTGGTTTTGAAAAACTTGCTGTTAGGGAAAATTAACATCCTTGAATTCGATTGAAGCTTGCTAGTTAAAAATGAAACCAAAAAGATGAAAAACCTAACACCGAAACAGCATGTTCAACGACGCGTGAAATAAGACTGAAAATTATCCTATTCGGCGCCTTTTTGTCTCTTTTGGCTGTTAATTGAACCTCGCTAACAAAAAACAAATGATAGTACCATTCATAAAAACGAAGAGCAAACAATATGAGATTGAGAAAATATGAAAAATGAATGGAGGATAGTGTTTATGCTCTTTTTCACCCACTTGTGTATTCAAAAGGGTTGTTAAGAGTTCTTACCACACCCCTTTCACCGCCCCCGCAATTATGGTGCAAGTCCTTTGGGGATTGGGCAATGGGGAATTTTAAGTGTAGCTCATTTAGAGTGCAACGATTGTCCCGCCCTGCCCCGCTAAACGTGAAAAAGGCCGGAAAATATCGACCGTTTTACAGCAGAAAAGAGACTTTTTCAGCCTTTTGTTGATTAATATCATCCTGGTTTGCTAAGGATATTGAACTAAAGAGAGAATTATAAGAGAGGAAGGCTTATGTGCTATTCGAATTGGGAGTAGCTAGGACTATAATTACCTATCACTTCAAAGTAGATTCAAAGCTTCATGACCGCCCCTACTAATGCCCGCTAATGCGCGCGCCGCCTTATCCTCCGCCCTTAGCGGGCTTCTCATTACGCTCAAAATTCCCACACGAGCGATGGTCAGAGAGGATAAAATTTCGCAAATAAGTTGTATTTACAACTACAGCACACATGATGCTTGCCTATAATGTTCAGCGAGAGACATGGTATTTGTGATGATATTTTTCTTCAATATTTAACCATGTTTCTCGAGCTTATTTAGGAATGTTATTTTAAAAAATCTAATGTAAAAACGCGCAAAGTCAAACTATGTTTTCAACTGTTCGAGCAATCGTTACCAAGTTAATTGTGTGGTAAATTTCAAAAACTGATAAAATTGTAATATATTTTCACTATTTCAGTCTAACGTGTCAACAACCTCAGCTTTCCTCATCCAAAGGAAACCCGCATTCTACAAGACTTCAAAGGAGAGGGAAGTCTCAAGAGAACACTATAGATCACCGCGTGAACAGAGATATCACAATTGTCAAATTAGGTCACCACTCCCGGCCCAAGTCATCCACAGCAAACAACAACAATGCCTCTGGGACGACGATGGCCACCTCAGCTACGACAGCCGGCAACAAAAAATCGTCATCGGGTGCTACTAAAGCCGAGTTGGCGGCGCGCAAGGCACCCGAGATGCTGTCTCCGCATCAGTTCGCCGCGATTCTCACTCGCAAGTTGGAAGAATTGCAAATTAAACAGCAGGGATTTAAACTGGTGAGATCCTTTTTAAATGAAAAAGCTTATTCTGACTTGATTAAAAATCTATATCTGATTCCTACTTTTGGGTTAAGAACCAAATAGTGGTCTCTTTGTCATTGTCCAAAGGAATCTTTTCAAATGACCGGAAATTAGTATCATAACGGTCATCATTCGTTTTGCCCTCTCACTTAATCTTGAAATCTTTGGATTAAGTAAGATTTTGGACAATGTGATAATTCGTTTCAATCTCGCTTCATTATCTACAAACCATTGGGTTGGTTGAGATTTAAATTCGATGTGCAATACTTGACAAACTATCAAACAGTATTTCAATCGAACGCACCCTTTTTAGTCAAATTGCCAAGTGAAACTTCTCCTAAATCTGTTAGTTTAGCTCATTGAAGTGCTTTCCGACCGTCTCAGAGTTTGGTTTGATTCAAGTTAAATTGAGATTAAGTGTCAAAATACTTTGTAAGTAGGTGAAGAGAAAATAAGGAGAAAGCACCAAGGTTCAGGTCGCCTCTGAAGAGACGAAACTTCAAACGGTTTAGCATTGCTCTAGAGTTTTTACGCTCTGTCGTAAACTGCTTTGAAGCCTCTTAATATCTCGCCGGCATTTAAACCGCTCTCACAGCACATGATTGTGGAGCCAATTTGCAAATGACTACTTGTTTTAGTTTATCTAATCGTACCTCGGTGCTCGCTCTTACTTACCAAGGTACAACTTAGATAGAACAAGCGTGGCCTGGTCATAAGAGTAGAGATATAAGCCACTGAAGGCGGCTATTGAGGCACACCGCAAGCGGTTAAAAGCCAAGAGAAGATTTGAGTAGATGGTATCACAAAGAACAAAGACACCGAAAACATAAACTTCTAACTTAGTTAAAGCTTCGATGTTTGCGTGCCGCCGCCGCTGCCGCCGCCATCGAGAGCCGCTTTATAAGTCTGACGAAAATTCCAAAGTTAGTTATATGACCAAGCACTTTGGCTCTACTTATCACAATTTTAAGAGCGCATGCTAAACCAAACGTTTCACCACTTTTCAGTCCTATAATACAACTTCTAGAAGTTCAATCAAACCAATCTTTAAAGAGCTGTAATTCAACTGCTAAAAGTTGTGCCGCATTCTCAAGTCATGTTTTTGTTGTTTTAAACTGATTAACCAAATTCTAGCACGCTAATTTCAGATCTGTATATTACGTGTTTTATATGCACCATCAATGGTCGATAAAACTCGGCGCAGTTTCTTATGATCGCATGTAATCAAGTCTACCACAGGACACGGCCAATTTAGTTTTATACTGGTAGTATTTTTAACAGTTGTCTGAGATTCCATCGAATAAATATGAAAGTTTCAGCCTTTGATTTTGAGAGACTTGCAATATTGCAGGTCCTACTTTGAAATCTGAAACGCGCGAGGATTCGTTCATAATCATTAAAAGTGACTTTTTTTGAAAAGATTTTTTTTTTTTTACATTTTGGGGACCCTAGGTTCCATAGGTGACTATTTTTGTTTGCTTTTTGCTTTACCAGAATTTCTAAATTCGATGAATATAAAAAAATTTTCACTAAAGAACGAGAAATCTTTTAATTTCTAAACAGAACTTCGTTTAAAGCAAGAAATTTCCGCAGGAGAAATACTAAGTACGAAGACGCAAAGCCAAGCTTCTCAAGATCATTAACAGAAAAGTCGAGGGGGGGCATCTAGGATTTTCTCCAGTTTTAGACTCCGGAAAAACTTTGTCGTCTTTTTATTTTAAATCAACCCGATTGGTTTTCCGAGGTCTTTCAATAAAAATATGAAGACAGTATTTTGCAAAAATTTTTGCTGTAAGCGAATGATAGGAAAAATGGACTAAAAATGCTGTTTTTGGGCGTTTTGTGGAAATTTTTTACCAAAAAACCGTCTATGATCTGCGCGGGCTCTCCCTCAAAATTTGAGCATGTTGGCTCAGAAGGCGCCCTTAAAAAGGTTTACGGTCGGTCGGCCGAAAATGGAAGTGCTAAAATAAAATCAAAGGAACTCGAAACCCCGCCTCCCAATCCTAAATACTCCTCAGAAAACAGCCAGTGATATCTTTTTAGATGGTTTCTCAGATCATCTAATAGTAATAATAATGAATTAATTAATAATTATTATCTAATCAGATCATCTGATAGTTTAACCTAGATAGCTTCATTCATAAACTCAGATTTTAAGTACATGTTGTTGCTGTGCTTAATAAATCTATACTCGTTGGTTTTATAGCTGGCTCTAAAATTTTTGGATCTGGGACACTGCATGTACATTGCGGCCTGCTGTTAAATTGAAAATCGTGCCATGTTTTCAGATCAGCTGAAAGAAAACCAGAGCTCGGTTCATTTTTACAGCACCGTTTCCCTATCCCTGAAATAGCCGACTAATTTGAAACGAGCAGCGCTGATAACAACTTTTACAGCGACTATAAAGCCATTTAGAGAAATTGGTATACATGAAAGCACGTAGCCGTGGAATTACTGTTATAGGACAAATCAAAGGACCTTAATGTGGTTGTGGCCTTATTTCTGGGTTGAGTTTGAAATCAAAAGTTTTCAGCCGCTTTATAGCCTGACAAGCTTGAAAACGTTTATATCATTTCCTTCCATGTAGTTTTAAAGTTCTTTAATTCAATTTTCAAGTCGAAATAGCGCTAAGATCTGAATATCGCCCAATTAGACGAAAGTCAAAATTTATAATTTTTTTGCTGACGTTTTTTCAACGCTCAAACGCATGCTTTAACTTTCGGGTTTGAGAGCCATTTGCTAGAAGGCACATTAAAATGGAATTAGTTTTGCGTTTTACCCCTTGCGGGCCTAGTATTTGCAGTTTGTGTTGTGGTATTCAGAATTTCCCAAACACCGGGCGGGTGGCGGCGGGTTCATTGTCCCAAAACCAAATCCCAATAATTCCTCAAAAACGGTCGGATTTAGACGCCGACTACTTAGCGCCAATGTTAAACATGGCTGGACCTCACTGCACTAAAGCCCTCTATATTAGACATTTTCATGAAAGATTGTAAAACTTGTTCTGTTTGGGACGCAATTGGATTTGAAGGCTTGTTAAATTTTTGGAGAGATTAATTAAATTACTTCTGATACGGGTTCGCATCACGGCTACTTTATAGCATATGAATCCGATCTAATTAGGCGGGGCAAAGAAACCCAAAATCGAGATAGCTTTTCGAATCTTGTTTCAATTAAGAGACTTCAGTAAATAGGACTGGACGTCAAAAGTAATACGGCGGCTCTTTGAAATAGGTGAAGTTATCAGATTTGGTTAGGGCTTGGCCACACAACGATTGAGAAAGAAGACGAAACTAAACAGGCAAACCGTTTCGACCAGCAAACAGACATGACCTATTTCAAATTTGTAACACAGTGCAGTATATTGGAGCTGGCACTTTATTAAATTATCTGATCGCCATGAGAGTAATATATCGAAGAGTTTTTTGTTTGTATTCTTAAATGGTTGTTTTGCGTTTCAGGAAACACAGAACTCGATTTGTTCGTCTTCAAGTCACGAGCGATGTGTTGCCAACAAGTTAGACTCATTAGTTCGTCATCAACTCCTAGCAGTCTCAGGTGCCAGCTCCCAACAGGTGTCCGATCGGGACCTCCCTAGTTCCTCTCAAGAGGATGACCCCAACAATATCATCGACAGTCACGTGTCAAGAGTCTTTCGGGACACCCGCGATTGCAGCCCCTCCCCTAGCTACTCACCAACCCCTCTATGTGCAAATCACGCGATTCACTCTAAATCATCGTGCAACACAATGCCAGGAAGGGTGGTGACCTCACACACCGGGGGCTGTCCGGGTACAAATAGCGGGAAGTTGCTATCGTCTGGCGGCGGAAGCCGGAAGTGTAACAGATTCGAAACTTGCTCCAATTTGTCTGTTTCGAGTGGGGTGGATAGCGGGTGCTTTGATGTGTCATCACAATTCAGCACTGACTCCAGAGAAAGCGAAAGGTAAATGCGCTTCTATCTTTCCCCATTTTTGTAAATCACCTGAAATACTTTCTGGACCTGTACTGGTAATTGGGAAGTTGTTTAACCTTTACACAAACAGCAATATAGTTGGAAGCTTTAATTTAAGCGTACCATCGCCGACCGTTTCTTTTGAACAATAGATCACAAAATTTATTTGATTCCGGTCAAACTAGTTATAGTTAACTGGTTAGTTATTATATGAAAGGAGATAGGGCACTTGTTAATGGATAGGGCTCAAAGCCCTCCAATGAAAGAGATCACTTTCTTTTCAAGATCATTCCAATGTCTTTGATACGTAGATCGGAAAAAGGAAAAGTTTTACCTTTTTACTTCTCTCTGATTGTTCGACATGTGAAAAAGTTCAAACAGCAAATGATAAAAGTGTGATTAAACATTTTGATCACTTAGATGTGCTCCTTTTTTCTTTGCACCAGAATAAAATCACCCGTTCTTTTTCAACTGCCCTACGACCCCCAGTCCCAATGCTGACTGCAACCACCCCCCCCCCCCCCCCCCCACACCAAAAACTTTTACTAGTGCACGTACAAACGGTGGTGTAACACTTGATGTAATTATACAACAAGGGATCACTATCAATTTCCGATCAACAATTTATTTTGATGTGAATTGTCCGCAGAAATCTCCCCTTTGAAAAATTATATTCTGGAATAGACTACAAGAACAAGGATCTTTCTTACATCGCTATCACATCGCGCGGCATCAAAGATTCCTGTTGCTTTCATTCCTGCTTTTTGGTCGTGTTTTGTGCAATTTTGGATTTTAAATCAGAAAAAAATGAAGACCTTTATCCGTTTTTGATAGTCCATGCTTTTTAAGTCTTCCATCTCATCCCGGGCTTTCTGATTTTGCGAAGTGGTTTTTGTGATGTGCCGATGACATTAAAAGATTTGTGTGAACAGTAACTGCTGTGAAATCAATAGAAGTGCCGGATCATCATAACACATCTCTGCAGAGACTTAGTCTTTGTTGCTTCGTTGTCTTTCAAAGCTAGTAGATTCGAATTTGAACTTTTAAATACAAATCAAAGAGTGTTTTAAGATGTTTTCAATGAAAGAAACCCTCTAATTATCCTAAACAATAGACACTCAGGGATCAAAGTTACCTTTATATTAAGGATAACTCACAACTTGAAACATATATCGCTGTGCGTGTAATATAGTCTTACACTTATATCTCGTCTCGATATCCTATCACAGTTCGTTCTCTTAACTCTTTCTGTCATCAATCATCAATCATTTTGATTTCAAACCAAAATCTGGAAAAGGTGTCTTTCATCCGGAATTCCTTTAAACTCCTTACTTGAAAACCAATCGACCAAAATTCCAGACGAAGCTTTGTAGATCCAACTATGGAAGCATATATCCAGTAAATTCTATCAAAAAACTCTACTTTTTGAGGTCTATGTTCGCTTAGAGGTGTTTTTGTGTAGTTGATCATCCCTTGTAGCAATATGGGGAACCTTAAAAGGTACGAAATAAAGGAAAATGACATGAAAAGAAATCAGAAACATGTTAAGAAAACATTTCAAAAGAATCATTTGATTTGATTTCACGTTTCAACTTTGTTTTTCGGGCTTTGTTGGGACAAAGCATCGCTGCTTTTGAACAAATTCGAGTGAAATTAAATGAAGTGAATTGAAATTTTCTTTGAAGCTATTCTTCAAACCAACGTCAATTGTACCATAGATGAGAGTCGAAAAGATAAACGCAACTCACAATATAATGCTAACACTGCAAAATTATCGCCCCATCGTGTCAAAAATGAACCCAGCGATCTTTTTACTTTGAATAGTGACAAACCCGTTAATCCTTAAAAAGAAAGCAAGAACAGCAGAGAAAAGAGATTTAGCTCTGATTGATCTATCTAGATCCAAAGTAACTATCAGATTCTGAATCAAAGTAAACTTAACATTCTATTCTGGTTCAACGACCGCTTTAGATGAAGAACGAGTTCTGTTAAGAGTCACAAAAATGGTTATATTTTACTTTTTCAACAAATTTTTCAACAAACTGTCCATTTTAATTTTTAGATGGACAGTTTGTTCAAAAAGGAACCCAGCGAAAATAAACACCATTCTATATATGTATATATAGATAGACCACCGCACTCCACCTCCGCCGTTGTCTTAAACTCTCTTGTACTAAGAGAAAAAACATAAAGATGGCCATCACTAAGTACCATGACAGCTTTAAGGTCACTTATTTTTTTTTTCAAAATTATGTCATTTTAAAAATAGGTTCAAAAAATGTCGAGTTTTTCCATCGCGCTATTTTTTCACTGTTGCTACTTGAAAGGAAATTAGAATAAAGCGGGCGCTGTAATCAAAGCCGCGGAAAAACGTGGAATTGAATTGAAGCGGGATGAAGTCGTTATAATTTGGATGAGAGCCGCATAAGTTTAAAGGAATGAAAACGGAGCTGGGAGTCGGTTTGGCTGGGCTGTAGATAGTCAAAGTGAAAGTAAAAAGCGAGGGGACTCATGTAGTCCCGCAGTCGCTACTGAATTGATGAATTGTTTTTTATCAGTCTTTGTAGGCACCATTCTTTACATAGATACACCGCCGCACGCCACCGCCGCAGCCTCAAACGCTCTTATAGTCTAAAGAAATGAAGACTAAACAAAAGCCTTGTTGTTCAAAATCCATTACTATTAAACATTAATAGCTCAATACAATTACTATTCAGGTTTTCAACAAAAAAGTGGTTTAAGAGTTAAGTTTTTTGAAAGATTGACTGTTTTCATTGTTATTGCAAAAAGGTCAAATCGTTCAAATCATTTGTATGAAATGTAGATTTTTCCATAGAAATTAATGATTGTGCGTCATAGTTTAAAGAAATTGTACGAAGTATTAAATGTCTGTAATTTCAGCAGATCGCGTTTGTCCGTGATCAACTGGATGCAAACTTCGTCCCGCGAGAACAGTGGCTCCACCCACTCTACCCGCAACCACATTCTACCCCCAAAACAACATCCGGGAGGTCTCATCAGAGGCAGCTCTACCACTTCTCGCGTCAACAACAGGTGGGCATCTTTGTCCCCGCACCGCAACATGCACTACAGCGTGAACAATAACCTCTCGAGCGGCAACTGTCTAGCCCCTGCCGGCAACAATGTATTACTCCACGGGTGTATGACGGGTGGCGCGGGAACACCAAGTCGCGTCCCCCCTTTGCTACCCTCGCACTGTGCACTGTCTAATAACTGCATTAATAATTCCTCGGCAATTAACCACCAGAACAGCGGTACCCAATCCCAATCGGCCAATCTCCACAGTTCGGTTGTCGGGTCGGCCACGTCCATTTGTGCATGCGGGCGCGACACTTCGGCAGTTTTTAACGCTATGCACCCGAGCAACTCTTACATACAGTCACAAACTCAATACCAGTAAGTTAACTCCCTTCCCTATTAAACTGGCCCAAATGCAACTAACTGCACAAAATATTTCACATGCACCGCATCTCCAATAGACCTAATATCTAAAAAGGAATGTTTATTTGATCCAAGATGCATTAAGACTGGTATTTTTGTATCAAACAGTAAAAATTGGCTTTTTTCTCTGATTACAAATATTTGACTAAGTTTTCCTCAAGTATGCATCCAAAAGTTGCTAATTTATTAACTGATACAGCATTTGCTGCATAATTGGCAGCCTAATTCTTGCCGAAACTCTAACAAATGTAACGGAGTGACAGATTTTGCCTGATAGATTCTGAAGTTATCCTCCAGGAAGCGCAGTTTTCCTAATTGATTATTCGACATTTTTTTTCAGAAAACAATTAGTTGAACAATTAAATGCTAATTGCTCGGGTTTTAAACAAATTTGATCACAATGGGTAAATAATGCCCCCAATGCTAATTTTTTCTTCAGAAGGAGGAGCTCCTTTGGAATATTACGGAAAAAACAACGGTTTAATTGAATTTTCACGCGTTGATTGGCACATGTCAATACTTTTGATTGATCGATTTCGTTTTCCTTTTCAACAATTGAAATTTTCCATCAATTTGTAAAAAAGCGAAATGGCAGCAATGGACCGAGAACAGACATGATTATGTGGGCCATTAGTGCCATATTTCAATACATAAACAACTGCCTTTTCCCGCCTAATGGCTCGTATTACCTGTCAATAAAAAGCTGAATGGATTTTTTTCACGGCTTATCAGCCTTCAGGCTTAGTAATTGCCTCTACTTGAATATTGAACGGGCGTCTTTTTGACTTTTCCGGCTCTCTCAAAATATGCCTGATTTTCCCCTCCCAAACCAATTTTTTGAGAGTTATTGATCGCTCTAGACTTCCATTTTGATTACGATGAGCTCAATCAATAACTCGGACAGAACTGCTGAAAGAAAAGAATTGATTATAGTTTTTGTATGAAAAATCGGGGCAAATTAGCGATGCGGAATCAAAAATGCAATTTGAGCCGCTGCATTTTCCATGCGAATAGGTTGTCAAAAAGAGATCGATTTTCGAAATGCAAAGAGATTGGAGGTAGGACTTTCCGGTCGGGGGGAGCTATCTATTCTCTCCCTCCTAATCCCCCCGATAATCCCCGGCCTCAGATGTGCACCGGAGGGGAATAACTTTCGGGGAAATTGGGCCATCAATCAGTTGATATTTGCTATGCTGGCACATTTTCTACCAGTTCAATCGATCAAAGCTCCGCCCATTTCACAACAATGTGATGATGAGAACGCGTTTTTTTAGAAGAATTAAGAAAATGAGTAATTCTTTTTTAGAAAATGCGTTGCAACTGAATTGAGTTTAGGTAGAAAAATTCTTTGATTTCAATTTATGTTTCAGTCAAAAGAAAAGCAGATCGAATTCAGCAGAGCGACCCTTCAGCGGAGCTGCACTGCAAGTGTTCAATGCTAAACTCGGCGAGCTACTCCCAAAAGCCACGACCTCCGAGTCCATCATCGGAATGACGTCATCCAACTGTTCACAGGACAATGTCTGTTCGGCTGTCGGAAATGGAACGAACTCAGCGAACACCTTTGCACCGCCCAGTTTCAGTCAATCAGCGGGCAGTAAAACTCCGAAACTGCAGAAGGAAAGTGTTATTGCGGCACAATTCGCAGACTCGACGCCCATCAGTGAAAAGAAAAAGAGGTGTGTTTACCTTAAGTTTTTTTAAATTTTCATGCTGAAAAAGTTATATGGGCATCAAAAAAAATTTAAAGAACTTTTGGTTTTTACGGAACGTTTTTTCGATAAATCGAATCTTGGGTTGTACTTTTTCAAATGAGTGATTTTTGCAAAGTTTTTATGTATGAAAAATTTCTACTTTTAAAAATATAATCTATCATTTAAAAATATATTTTTTTGCTGCTTCAGTTGGACTTGGAGCAAACAGCGGAGTAGTGAAAAGAGCAGTCGACATATAAATAACAGCAGCTCTTGTTCGCATCACCAGAGTAGCCATGGCAACCAGTCTCTTGGGTCGGCTATGGTTGTACAGGAAAGCATGCATGTCTACACAACTGAGATCCAAGAAGACTCTGCATTTGACGAAAGGTACAGTCTTCGTTGCTTTACATGTTTTTGTTGCTTTAAAAACAAATTTAACTGGACTGTTTGTTGGGTCTTAAGGGTTTACTGTTTAAGGGTATTGCAATCGGGTACAAGACTTTTTTTTCCCGTAAACAACTTTGTTCACAGAATTGTCATTTTAGTAAGAATGGTAAATATCACTTCTGTCATGCTCAAATTGTTGAAGTTCGTATACAACTTATTCGTAGTAGTAATTAGCTAAAGACTGTTTCAGGTTGTAATTAATTTTTCAAAGATAATTCCTCATTTTTTTTCGGGTTCGCGGTTTGCTTCCTAGTTTCTGTTCCGTTTCATTTGGTCGTTTTTTATTTGAAATGAACTTTTTTTTATCTGATAGGGTTTTTAGTGGCTTATTTTTAAAGCACTGCTTTTGTTTCAATTAATACAGATTTTTACTATAAGTGAAAGTTCAGTAATTTGTAAATTTAACAAGCCTGATTTTGCAGATTTTTTTTTTTTTTTTTTAAATATTTAAACAGTTCGTTATTTCAGCCTTATTAATTTGTATTGAGTAATTTTGAGGGCAAAATATATTTGTATAGGGTTGTGCGCTTCAGTATGGATGGGTCGTAAAATCATTTACAACTTCATGAAATTTTTTATGACAACAGTTTTGTTTTCGGCTCAACAGACTGGCTTAAGGCTCTATTTGAACTTCATCTGATACAATCATGAAGTTTTTTTAGCTGTAGTTTCTTCCATTTTTTCGAGTTATATTTAAAGGTAAGTTTTTCAACTAAATTTTGACATTTCTTTTTGACTTCTGTCTTCTTTCTGACTATTTTGAGTATACTGACTATAATGTAGCGCAATGTGGTGCGCAATTCGAAGTTGTGTAAGCTAGTTCAATACTGGCTGTTGTGTCCTGCCACAGGTTTTCATCAAATTAAGTTTCAGTTTTAGGCAAACATATGAAAATTTCGGGTGTTGTTTTTTGGGCGTTTTGTCAATTTTTCTTTTCCGATTCGGTGGCTTTGTGTATCTCGGTGCCTTTTGGTGCGAACTCTGCTTCGCCTGTGTGTTTAATATCAGTTTATTATCACGATCAACTTTTAAATATCAATTCAACATCAAACTTAGAGTTTCTTAAAGTTTTTAAAACATTTTATTCACGTTCACTTATTAAACAAAAGAAAAATTTTTTCATACTTACTGAAACGCTTGACCGTGTTCTTATTCATTACTTGAATCTAAAAAATTGAAACAATATGACTTTCTGAGCTTGTTTTTCTCTAAATCAAGAACATGAGATCTTAGACACAATTTAGATTTGAATTTGTGATCAAACATCATGCACTTTAGAGTTTTAAATTGATCGCCTATTTTTGAACCACATTTGAAAGCAGGACAGAAACTGTTGATTAAAAGGTTAAACTGCTGTCTTCAAATCAACAACTAAAGACCATCCCATCCTATTACGTTTAATATACTAATACTTTTTTCAATTTTGTTTCGTTACAAAGAAAACTTGGAATGTGTTTATTTTTAATTTAAAAAAATCCTTTTTAATTTTATCAAAGTTGAATAGAAGAATTTCTTTTGATTGATTTCAGTCTTTTATTCATGAATTGAAAAGCTTCTCAGACAAAACGGAGGCTTTGTTTGTTTTGTGACATCTCAAGCAAACACTTGCAAGAGACATCAAGTATATGAAAATTGTAAAAACTGATTCCAACTTTCTTTTACTAGGCGCCCCTCTAAATTGCTTTTATGCCACTTGCGAAAAATGACGCAAATTTTTCCATAAGCAGACATTTTGGAGACGTCGACTGATTTGAATAAAATTTGGAGGCACTAAATCTGCATCTTTTCTTTTAAAAGGCGAAAATTTCAAATTTTTTTTTGCAAATTAGGTTTATTTGGAAAAAGTTAACAATCACCTATTTGACAGTTTGCGAAAAATTATCTCTTGTTCGAAAAACTGTTGGTTCAGATTGTGTAGTATAAAACTATATTAGCCTGAAAAAGTCTTCGAAACCAATCCTTCGTTTTTGCTGACCAAAATAAACACCCAAAACGTCCCGTATTCAACAGACATACAAGAACAAACCTACTTAACCTACTTGACTTTTCTAAGTTTTTATCACACACCTTAAATTGAGTAATAATGACCTACTCAGCCTCTAATTTTCATCCTTTTGTTCTAGTTGCGCAGAGGAATCCTATTTTTCAACCTGCTCGACTGGCGACGGAAAAAAATCAACCGCTGTTGTGTCGTCGCAAGGAAGTGTGTCGGGTTCGAACCCTACTTCCCAACCGCACTCAAGTTCCGCGTCCCAGGTGGCGGGAGGGGGTAACTTCAGCGGGTCATCATCAGTCGTGACGACAACAACGAATAACAGTGGAGGTGCCAATTGTACGGTTGTTGCGTACTATTTCTGTGGTGAACAAATTCCCTATAGAACTGTGGTTCAGTCTAAAGTCATCACGCTCTCAGATTTCAAATCTCTGCTAACCAGAAAAGGAAATTACAGGTTAATATTTAAAACCTTTCGATGGCAGTATTTGAAGCAAATGATCAGAAAAAGCGTTCCCACATATTTTTTGGTTTTGAATCATTTAAAAAATTTTTTTCTACAATCAAATCATATTAATGCTCATCTTCTTGCCCCTTTCTTTTTTTCGCCAAAGGCTAACCAAATTGCTTCGGTCCCTGTCCAAAATCAGTTCAATATTATTTGTTGGTTAAAGGAAGGGATATTTCAATTTTCAGTTAAGGGAGGGGAAATCTTTTTTGTAAATAGAGGGAAAATAAGCAATTATAGATACTGATCAAATCTTGTTTTTCTTGTGGTAAATTTGTTCTTCAAAAAAATGAGTGAGCAGTGATAGGTGATCTAATTTAAGACATATCTGATCTAATTAATAACCAAAAGTAAGTTGAGTTAATAATTTTGTCTTGTTCATTTCAGGTATTTCTTCAAGATGCGCTCGGATGAAATTGAACTGGGTGGAATTGTTAATGAAGAAGTGACGGACGATAATGCAATTTTACCCTTCTACGACGGGAAAATAATTGGGAGGATAGAAAAGCAACCCACTTTGTCATCCTGACCAAATTAGCCCCAATTTGTTATTGTGGAGACGAAAGATCACTACCTGAACAAATTATCCCAGCCAAGAGTTGGTTATAATGAAGAGGGAACACTCCCCGCTTACTAATGAGGTGGCACGAACAACTCAAATAATTACAGCAGAAGAATTGACCTGCAAGTTGTAGCTAAACTTCACCAACAAGACGCAAAAAGTCAGCGAACTGGTCCAAGTAGCGAGGACGCATTCAACAACAAGAAAAAAAAGATAGCAAAACGTCCATCTGTACCAAAACTGAAAAGTTTTGCCGTTATAGCTTTAAACAAAACTGCATAACATCAAATTTAGTTTTAATGTTTTGACGAAATGAAATTTGAATTGCTTCGTTTACCTCAACTTCTAAATCTCAATGTTTCTTTATGTTAAATTTCTATTTTGATCAAAATTATTTCATGCGTCTGTATCTTTGAGCTGGGCGAAGAATATTTTGTATAGCTGTGTGAACTATGACTAATTTTGGAGCTCTGTACTCTAAGTGCGAAGTAGCTCCTTTAAAACGCTCTTGCATATCTTTGACCTTTAGCATAGCCATTATTTCCTCAATTTCTTCATTAATTTAATTTTTTTCATGTCAATTTTTAACAAAGTGACCTAAGGATAGGCGTAAAACTTTGCGTTCAACTAGATATATTTTCTAGAGAATTAATTTATGGAGATCGCGTTAAAACACAAAAGCTCTGTTCTCCTATCTGGTTTCAGAAAACTCAAACAACTAGTCAAACAACCTGAGTGTTCCGACTGCCTTTTAAGGTTTATGGAGCAGTAATAACATTAAAAAATTAAATGTAATAAAATAAAATGAAAAAATTTTTTTTTCTAAAATTTGAATTTTTTTATGAAGTCATCCCCCCACACGCCATATAAAGTACAAACGAATAGATGTCGCTCATAGTAACAATCAATTATGGCAAATAAGCTTCTTTCAACCGATTTGGAACGATTTCTAAGACGGATTAAATATTCGCTTACGCGTTAATAGCGCGAAATATATCGCGCGTTAATTGTCCCAAAATGGCAATCTTTAAACCCCCATAACTTTACAAAAAAAATGATCACAGGTAAAATATCTTTTCAAATTTAGGCTCAAGACGACAAAAGCTTTCGAATGATATAAAAAAAATTCCGCCAAAAATGGCTAGTTAAAAAGTCGAAATTTGTCTGAAGAAAAAAAACCCACCCCGAGCACAAATATTCCGTTACTTTCCTATCGAAAGTCGGAACAAAACACGCGCCTCGGCATTGTTACGGAAGATTTTAAAGCTATAATTATAAAGCTACTGTAATTTGGAGCTAATGATATCTGCGAAGTTTGGAAAAAAATTGTGCTCGGTATGGTTTTTTAGACAAGTTTCGAGTTTTTATTTCGCCATTTAAATGAATTTTATACCACCAGAAAGATAATGATGCTCGAACTCAAATGTTGAAAAAAAATTCCTCGTGTTCTCTTTTCGGAGTGTTATGGGGGTTTGAAAATTGTTAAGTAACGCGCAATATATTGCTCGCAATTGTAGCGTTAGGGACAGTTTAATCAAGCTCAAAAATCTATAAACTCTGAAAAGCATAAAAATAGATAGAATTTTCGTTTTTCTTCGAAAAATTTAGAAATTCAACTAGAGGCAGGCAGAACATTCGATACGAAAAGTGTGATTAGTTCTATGTGATTTAGTTAAAGAGCAACAAAGAATGTACTTTTACTCCGCATTGCTGTATTGTTCAAAGAAAAATTTCAACCTTCTGGTAATCAGACTGATATTTTTAAAATATTTGAACTTCCAAGATAAAGACGGAATAAACTTGATCGCTGTCATTTTCTCACACAATTTTTTTTTCTAAATAGCCGGTTTTAAAATCAGTGGGATTATCAAAGCCCTGAAATGAATCAAAGTCATCCGGAGAACTTGAGATGTTTAAACCGCGAAAAATATCTCGCTATTAACGCGTAAATGTCGAATTTTTCCATTTTGAAAAACGTTCCAAAGTATTTTCAGTCTTTCGAGTTTTTGGTTTCAGATACGTTGATATTTTTAACTTTTTGGTTTTAATTACCTTCAAAGACGCTTACCTTATCACTGCTTTTAAAAAACCGTGTGTAGTAAAACCTATTAAATTCTACAAAAAAGAAAATTTCAATAGCTTTTATCGTGTCGGACATAGCTGTAACTTCCATTAATTGTAGCTAATTTCAGTATTTTTGTAGCTAATTTCAGTATTGGATTTCCAAAAACGCACAGTTGGCTAATTTGCGATAAGCAATGCGCAATATATATTTTGCTATTAACGCGTAATTGTCGATTTTTTCAGTTCTAAAAATTTTTAATTTTAACTTCAGGGTTTTGACTTTTTGAGTCTTAGCACGTTAATATTTTGGTTTTTTATACGTAAAGGCTTTCTTTCGGTTTTATAGAAAGCTAAATACTTTTAAAAAAAGAGTGAAAATAAATCCAGAAAATGTTTTTGAAAAACCATTCCGAAACTCACTAGGGATAACCGGTTGCTGTCAAGTAGCACAGAATGTTCCGATCATAGACTTAAAAATAAAACTAACGTTTTTTCAAATTGTGTTAGTTTTTGTGCGTGGTGTGATTAAAGATCTTAGGAAAAAAAACTAGAGCTGTAGAATATTCGACATTCATAGAAAAATACGCAAATCGGAAAACAATTTTCGAACTAATAAATCAAAAATATTTACCCTGAGTTTTTTTTGCAGTTTTTTGTATTTTTGACGTTTTTGTTTCCAAAAAGCGCTAAAATACTCAATAAAACTAATTTAAGTCAAGTAAACTAATTCATAACGCTAAAATATGCATTTGTAGGCTTTTAAGCTTATAAAACCAACTATTGTAAGCCTGCTCGCTCGTTCCAAGTTAAACAAAAAACTAAACATTGCAAATTGGTTTTTCTCAACCCTGGGAAAAATCTTTTCTGAGTTTTTTGAGGTCGTTCAAATCACGATTAAAAGAGCTGTAAAATAATATAACTAAAATACACCCGCACACCAAGTTCTTTCCCATTTTTCAAATAGTCGGAACAATTTTCTGAGGAAAAACCGCTTCTTATAAAACTTCTCGAAAGTTACCTTTTGACATATTTCAAACAGGCTGCATGTATAATCATGTACAATAGCTTTTCAATAGCTTTCGGAAGTTTTTTTTTCTTCTAAATTTTTTTGATAGAAAAAATTGGTTGCATATGTTTTTTTCATCAAAATTTATTCTAGCTTTGAAAACTAACTGAAATCAAGGAAATTTTGATTTTCTGCTCTAATCTTCGGTTAAAAACTTTGGCGGTCAAGTCATCCGAAAAATAATTTCAACAGGTTGAAAGCAAACTTGAACTCAGACCATAACCAAATGTTTGGAATAAAAAATCCAATAAAAAATCAGTCTAGGAGAGGGAAAGTTGAAATTATGAAATTTTAGTGTTTCTCGTACTCATCCAGAATTTGGCTTTCAATGCTCATATTCTATTACAAGTAAAGCTTTACTTGTTTTTAAAAAAATTAATCAATAAATTATGCAAAATTTTTTAAAATCTCAAATCACTCAAATCATATCTGTTGTGTAATTCCAGCGCAGTTATATAAACTTGGTCCCAATTTTTGAAATACAAACTGACGGAATTTTTATGTTTGGTTTTAATTTTATCAGTCTTTGTTCAACTTTTCAAATTATCGTGTTGATAGAATTTTTTAAAACTTACAGAAGATAACTCAAGCTATTTAGACCTGTTATCATTTTTCTGATAGCCTCCTATAGACACACCTAAATCTAGACGGTTTAGAAAAACTTTTCGAGAGGGTAGATGAAAATGAAAACATATTAAAACACTAGGGATATTTAATTTTATTTTATTTTAATCTCGTTTTATTTAGTATAATGCTTGCTAAATTATTGTAATGGCCATGTTTTGAGTATACTGAACTGTAATTGAATTTTTGTTACTGAATTTTAGAAAACAATAACTTAAATATCATAAACATTTAAAAAAAAATTTATTGAAAAGTTGAAACATAAAACTAGATTATATCAAATATATAATAGATTATATCAAAGAATATAAATTATAACTTTTTCGGATGATTAATAGCTCTTTTTATGACTCAATATCATATCGGCATTACTTCTCCCACAAAAAAAATAATCGAGCAAATGTCCAAAACGAGTTAAACGGCTGCAATAAAATTATTTTTAAATCTGGATCAATTGTGTTGATATCTTCCATTTGTCCAAAACTGTCAACGAAGAAAATGCGCGAGGAAAAATACCAGAAAATATTGGTGCAAATCATTCAATTTTTGTCACAATGTATTTGAACTTATTGATTTAGACGTTTTAGAAACTGATTTTGAACAGAGTTACGAATCTAACTCCTTGTGCGTGTTTGGAGGAATGCTTGCTAAACAAAAGACTAGCTGCTTCCAAGGCAGGGGTTGTTTAAAAACTTATTGTTCCGACTTTCGATACGAAAGTAACGGAATATTTGTGCTCAGGGTGGGTTTTTTTTTCTTCAGACAAATTTCGACTTTTTAACTAGCCATTTTTGACAAAATGTTTTATATCATTCGAAAGCTATTGGTATCCTGGGCTTAAATTTGAAAAGATATTTCACCTGTGACCATTTTTCGTAAAATTATGGGGGTTTAAAGATTCCCATTTTGACCAATTTGGGACAATTAACGCGCGATATATTTCGCGCTATTAACGCGTAAGCGTCTTAGAAATCGTTCCAAATCGTTTAAAAGAAGCTTATTTGCCATAATTGATTTGTTACAACGAGCGAAATCTATCCTTTTGTACTTAATATGACGTGTGGGGGGATGTTTTTCATTAAAAAAAATTTCAAATTTTAGAAAAAAAAAATTTCATTTTATTTTATTACATTTATTTTTGTTTGTTATTACTGCTCCATAAACCTCAAAAGGCAGTCGGAACATTCAGGGCTTCGACCTGATACGAGCAGACTTGTTAATTTAATTATAAGTTTTTCTAAGGTTGACTTGAGCGCCATCATATACCTAAATTGAGGGTAAAAGAACGCCATATAATTCTCTCTTTTTTTAAAATGAAAACCTGCTAAAAAAAAGAAAATTATAGCGCTGTTTGGAAACTTGAGGGGTATTTTCAGCTTATATATTCTTAATCAGGAAAACTGGATAGTCTTTCGAGCACCGCTGATTTGTGGGCTTCTCGAGATCAGCAGGAGAAACTCATTGCCGATGACGCTGATTCTAGTATTCAAAAACAAACATCACAAAGGACAGACTCATTTGAGAGGAACGAATGGGTTCTCATCAAAACAATTGACAATTCTTTTCAACGGTAGAAAATTCAAGTTGTGTCCGATTTAAATCATGTTCTTCTAAACTTTTAAATTCAAACAAAAAATAGTTCTTTACTTTTAATTGAGTTTACTTTTGACGAAGGACTAGTAGCTTGTGTCGGCAAATCTTAAAAACTGTTGGAGCACCACACTTTTTACCCAAAAGTTCCAGGGATATCTAGAAGTTTTTTAGAAAAAAAAAATTTCATTTTATTTTATTACATTTATTTTTGTTTGTTATTACTGCTCCATAAAC